GCCGACGGCTTCCTGGCGCGTCGTCTTAGGGGACCTGATCCTGTAGTGACATCTCAGATGGTGGCGTGTCGAAGCGTTCTTGTCGGGGTGTCGAGCGTACGGTGAGTGATGTTGGCGAACGTGCTCTGTCGCATTTGTGCGACATTAGCCGTTTTCACAATCGATTAATGCACTGAAAGTTTTGGAGTTTTTAAATGCTTTGATGGAGTTTTAGTAGACGCTTAGCACTCTGACAAGAAAAGAATTATTGCAATTACATCAACATGTAACAGATAAACCGCTTGTATCCAGCGTAGAATGAGTTTGGAATATTAAACGGACATTTGCTGACGGACGGACATTGATAGCTGCGCAATCTGGCCACTGCCGAAGACAGAGCCCACACCCAACGTTGCCCGCCGGCAGGGCCTGGACCTTGAGCTCGACGCCAGTGCCGATCTGGCCACTGCCGAAGACAGAGACCACACCCAATGTTGCCCGCCGGCAGGGCCTGGACCTTGAGCTCGACGCCAGTGCCGATCTGGCCACTGCCGAAGACAGAGACCGCACCCAATGTTGCCCGCCGGCAGGGCCTGGACCTTGAGCTCGACGCCAGTGCCGATCTGGCCACTGCCGAAGACAGAGACCACACCCAATGTTGCCCGCCGGCAGGGCCTGGACCTTGAGCTCGACGCCAGTGCCGATCTGGCCACTGCCGAAGACAGAGACCACACCCAATGTTGCCCGCCGGCAGGGCCTGGCCCTTGAGCTCGACGCCAGTGCCGATCTGGCCACTGCCGAAGACAAAGACCACACCCAATGTTGTCCGCCGGCAGGGCCTGCACCTTGAGCTCGACGCCAGCGCCGAGACGGTCGCACCACAGCCATCCGGCAGTCCAGTAGATTGGATTGTGTCGTGACCGCCATATTTGCCGCTCGGCTGGTATGGTTAAGCTGGTAGTAGCTGCCCTCAGGCAACGCGAGCATGCAAATTTTTATCAAAGGCTGCAGCGGATAGAGGTAGGTTGTAGTGGGTCTAGGATTGTCAGGGAGCAAATGTTTCTTACGTTCAGGAAGCGTCTGCTCCGTTTTTTCGCTAGCTGTTCCAGGAGCAAGACACATGGGGTTGATTCGGATGTTTGTAGGTTGAGGGTCAACTTCAACAAACGCCTCTATATGTGTGGTACATAACACACGCCTACAGAAAATGAGTCAACCCTTTAATAACGATTCCCCTGCATATTTAAACGTGGCATGTACGTAGAATTACGAGCGATTCACGATAACTCGTTCCGCGCCTTCCCGGCCATGGACCCCCGTTAAATGATGTAGCGCATGATGCGGCGGATTTTTAGCATTTTTATTATCTCGATCACGTTTTGTCGCAATCCGACATTTGGACGTACTAAAAGCATACATAACGTTAAGCCCTCTCTTCCGCTTCAATTATGTGCAGTATTATTCTTCACTGTGTACCATGCATTAGTTTATTGTGCATGGATGATGGACTTCTACGCAGTAAACACTTCGGCCGACACCCATCGCGTTGGCGCCGGTATCCGGAAGCTTGGCGCCGATAACGCGGTATCGGCGCAGCGGCGCCAGCTGGTCCTATCGCCACTATCTAGCATTATACGCTTGACTGACGTTACATTGGCACGTGACCAATGACGTTCATTCTTTTCCTTTTCCTGACCCTCATTTTTCCCTTTTGCCCATCACTGCCCGCAAATATACAACAATTTTACGCAAGGCTATTCTACGAAATTATCTCGTGTCTGTAGATAGCGAGTCCCTATACAAAGGTTTGTCACCCATCGGTGGACTCCCTCGTCTCTAGTGTTGCGTCATTTGTGGATGGCCCACACTTTTCCTGAACACTCTAGCTTATGTAAACAACACGTGCTCGGTATCAACAATTCAGACTAACACGTGCTATCTTTGCTCTCGGTGGCCGGTGCGCTGCTTTGGAAAGTCGCCGATTGCACTGAAATCGCTACGGCCGCATAGATGCGCCACCGCACACAGCCGGAGCGAAGGTGTGTGTATGAGCCCGCCAACGGTGATGGGGATCGGAGTCAGTGAGATTTTGGAAACCCAACGCTTCTCCGACTTCGGCGCACTCCGTAGTTATGTTTTGTGTACATATATGTCATAACATAATTGGTCCTCATCGGGTCCGAGAATGAAAATACTGACCTTCAGTCAGTGCGGTGTTTGCAAGTCGTCGAACATTATGGCGCGTAGTGCACCCTTGACCCAACAGAACAGTTCCATTGTAATGCAAGGCTTAAAGCGGTCGGTTGCAGTGGTCGGCTGATGTGGATTTGTTTGACGCCGTAATACAGCGTGGAGTCAGCAGGATATCCGCCCCGTCTCAACCGTAGCAAGTGAAGAAGGCAAGCAAAGTATGGAGGATCGGAGGCGGATCCAGGAATTTGATCGCGGGTGCACTCTCTCTGGGGGGGGGGGGGGGGTCAAACCTGAAAGGAGTGTAAACCTTGCGGACAAATAAACCGAACCGTGGTTACTCTAACTTATGAAATTATTGGGAATACCGCAATATTCACACACCAGGCTTATGAATCTGTGCCAAAGAGACTGCTGTATGACATACCGTAACCTTTACATCGTGGAGCGACGTGTGATGAGGGCTTGCGCACCCTGCGGTCCTGCAGCACTGTCAGGATGTTGGAACACTCGGCACTCGGCAATGGTTTTACTTTCGTGCTTGGATCGACAGTTAGATGATATGTGCAGTAAAGGAAACTGTCATTCATGTTCAATGTCACTGGGCTGTCAGAGGGTCCATAGGTAAAAAATCACAAGTTGTGTGCAGTTGCCTTCGCTCTTTCTTCAAGAAACGGCTAGTTAACTCGCGCAGATGAGAATATTGCACCATATAACTTACGCCGCTTTCAGACCGAGGCACGGGCAGTTTCCACTACCTCCCTAATGCGTCACTGTTAATCCCCTGGGCACATTGCAAGCATGGTGGCGTAACAGGATCTCAGCAACCCAGCTACCGGAATGTGGTGCTGAGCGTGACACACGGGAGCGAATCGTTGTACGAATGTCGTTTGGGACGTTCCTGAAGCGCGGCACACTGACGGGGATTTCACCCTTTCATGTGCTCGATTTCCTTTGGCTGACTAGGCGGTACAGTTCTTATTCCGCACGGGTGCGTCTGTAATTGGAATGTCTTACTCGTGCGGCTTTTGTATCGCGTGTCTTGAAATTTGAACGTCCTGAAGGAAGCACGTAAGCATTTTTAATACTTGCGGGCGCCACTTCAAAGCACCAAGTCGCTGAAGGCCACAACAGGTGCTCCTTGAAGTCTCCACTTCTATTTAAAATGACTTATTGTGATTTAAAATATACGAATGTACGGTATGTATGTACGTTCGTGTTGTTTGGCAGAGGATGTGGCATGCGGACTCAGGTATGTTTGAAGAGATGAAACCGGCGATAGACGAGTGGACAGGTGGTAATATGAAGCACCTTGCCCAAGAGGTTGCCCTTTTCCGGCTCCTCTGGGCCATACACACCAAACACACATTCATTATCTCTTGGGCAAAGGCCCACCACCGTGCACTTGAGTGTCTTTTGAGCCCTCGAAACATATTCTCAGACCGCAGGGACATCTTTCGAGGTCTCGAGGGGTGCCTGGGTGTATGGTTTGGGATGCTCTTTTATCCTTTATGGCGTTCTTCGGACTTCGGGACCATTTGTTCATGCACCATACACACTCTTTTAGCTCTCGGGGGTGTCCCATCCCGGTTTGAGACATTTTTGTCTTATGGAACGTCCTAGACCCGATCCTGGAACATATGTTGGACATCAGTGACGCGTTTTGAGACGTCAGGATACCACTTCAGGATGGAGACACGCTTTGATGTGGGGGCAATATTTTTGCCCTCGGAACGTGTTTTCAAGCTTCAGGAGCAGAAAGCTGGAGAGGTGCGTACACTGGTTGTAGTCACCCTTCCAGTTATTTGTGCGCCTGTTATCATAAGGGGTTTCCTTCCCGCCATCGGTGCACAAACGTTGGGGAGCGGGGGGGGGGGGGGGGGGGGCCAAACGAGTCCTCGGATGCCACGTACCAGCCCGGGGACTTGGGGCGTCCTTGTGGACGTCTTTCTGTACTCGGAGACGTATTTTCAGATCACATGGGCACCCTTTCAGCTGTCGGGGTGCTTTCCCTCTCGCCAAGATTTTAGGCACGTTTGGCTCTTCATGGTCGTGTGACAGCCTGCCTTGTTCGGATCCGTGTCGGGTGCCTCTTCAGGGACGCGTTCGGATCCGTGCCGGGTGCCCTTCTTGGGACGCGTTTGGATCCGTGCGGGTGCAACGCGTCCCCATTTGGGAGGCGCCGCTTTTCGATTGACGAAAGCTACCAAGCCCGAAGTTAAAACTTTCGTTTCAAGAAACTTGTATTCATGCGTACGTTGACATTGGCATTTATCTAGTGGCTTTATCCTACCCCATATGGGTGTCAAAGTTTGGTATCGTCTTGTGCGCCGTATGCCATTTCGTTGCAGTGCAGTTTCTCCTGTATTTTTACGCATCCCCGCCGTTACATAATGTTAGAGTCGTCAGACGTACGGCTTTTCTTGGATTTTCCTTGGGGTTTTTGGAGGGTGTATTCGTCACTGGAGACCGGTCATTCCTCCCACCAGCCGCACCGCTTTATTCCATCGGGAATCACAGCTTCAGTTCACAATCTGGCGGTCGGTATGCCGTAAAACCCCGCGCGTCATCGCCTCCAGTTGTCAGCACCGACTCACCGACGCGTCTAAGTGGCCGCTAGAATCGGCCTCCCCGGACGCCGGGCCTGCCGGTCTCCAGACGCGGCGCCTGTTGCACACTCGTTGCCAGACGCGGAGACCCCGCCGCCGCGACCTGCCCTGCCGTGTCGGGGCGGCCCGGCCCTGCCGACCCGGCGGCCCGCCATACTTTCTCGTGGTGCGCCCGGCCGGCGCGGCGCCCCAGTGCGCCACAGTCGCCGTCTGGCAGCCGAGGTCGATACAGCGGTCGCGCCCGCCGACCAGACACGCCCAGCAGCCCAGCCAGCGAGCCGCGCGCGCGCGCCATGAGCGGGACGAACGGCAGCCAGGTGGAGCCGGCCGCCGCCAAGAGGGCCGCCGAGCAGAACGGCGCGGCGGCGGAGCAGTCGAGTGCGCTGGTGCGCCGCCAGAGCTCGCTGCTGCACGATGGCTGCATGTTCCACAACGACGTGGAGCTGGACCACCGGCCGTCGCCGCGCCAGCAGCTGGTGGCCGAGATGGCTGACAGCTACCGCCACCTGCTCTCGTCGCTCGGTGAGAACGTGGAGCGCGAGGGCCTGCTGCGCACGCCGGAGCGCGCCGCCAAGGCGCTGCTCTACTTTACGAAGGGCTACGACCAGAGCATCAAGGATGTGCTCAACGAGGCGGTGTTCGACGAGGACCACGACGAGATGGTGATCGTCAAGGACATCGAGATGTTCTCCATGTGCGAGCACCACCTGGTGCCGTTCATGGGCAAGGTGTCGGTGGCCTACCTGCCGCGGGGCAAGGTCATTGGCCTGAGCAAGGTGGCGCGCATCGTGGAGATCTTCAGCCGCCGGCTGCAGGTGCAGGAGCGGCTGACCAAGCAGATCGCGCACGCCGTGCTCGAGGCCATCAACCCGAGCGGCGTGGCCGTGACGGTGGAGGCGGCGCACATGTGCATGGTGATGCGCGGAGTGCAGAAGATCAACTCCAAGTCCGTCACCAGCTGCATGCTGGGCGTGTTCCGCGACGATCCCAAGACGCGCGAGGAGTACCTGGCGCTGATGCGCTAGCTGGGTGGGGCGGGCGGCCCGGCGGCGCGGCCGGCCCGGCTCTGGCGCCGTGGGCTTCGCTGCAGCCCCGCGTCGGTGTAGCTGACGGAGTTTTCGTTGGCATTGCTGTGGGCCCGAGGTAAGCATGCCTCGGCTTTGGTTGTTCACGCAGCTGTAGTTATGACAGCTGTCTGCACATCATGTCTACGCCAGTCTCAGCTGGCTCGCTGTCGTCGCTTCCCACGTTCGTTTCACCATATGCTACGTAGGCGGGATAGTTCAATGTGAAGGCCCTGCTAGCTGGACGCGATCGGTGACGGTCGCGGCACTCAGGACCCGTCGTCTCCCGCGCGCAGTGTGCTTTGGCCGTGGCGTAGTCTCCGCAACGTCGTCTCTTTAGAGGCCGGGCAGCGCTGTGCCAACTATACGTATCTGTGACAAGGTGGGACCAAGTCGGCTGGGCCGATCCGATGATGAAGGGACCAAGCAGTCGTGGCCGACTGCACATCCGTTGTCTCGTTGGTCGTTGCGCGCTGTAAGGTGGCAGCGGTGGCTCGCGACGCGCTCGGTCGCCGCTGTCCGCCGCTAAAACCCTTGGTGGTGTCATGGTCGTCAGTCTCTGAATAAAGCCTGGCATCCGCCCCGCCGTGTGTGTGCGTGGCTGCGTGAGTGCCGCGTGGCGCGGGGAGTGGCCTGCTACGTCAGCTGACACTGTGCGGAGACGGAGGAGTGGTGGCTGCGTGAGTGCCGCGTGGCGCGGGGAGTGTCAGCTGAAGCTGTGCGGAGACGGAGGAGTGACCAAGCACGCTATAGACAACTAGCCCGAGAGCGGACTTACGTTCGATGTGGCTGGTATGTAGGCTGAGCGGCTGGTTTTGCAGCGCTTTATCGGTTGGGCAGGCGGGTGGGGCAGGCGCTGCAGCCCTCTCCGCAGTGCCGAGGGTTGCGCCCCTGCCTCGTGCCCTGGGCCGCGTGGCCCGGCAGCGGCGCCGGCCCCGCACCGCCCGCCCGGTTGCGAAAGTGGTCGGCCGCTGCGGGCGGGACGGCCCTCCCTGGGCGGCGTTATCTCGGCCCGGGATCAGCCGGCCGGGTCGGGGCGGCTGTAAGACGGCAGTGGCGGCGCCGAACGCCGGCCGCCGCCTGTGGCGGCCCTCCCTCCGCCCGGCGCCCAGCCCTGCACCCAGCCCTGCACTCCGCCGGCCTCCGGCGTGTGGCATCACCACCCGGTCAGCTGGCCGCGCGGCCAGGCTGGGGCAAGTTGTCGTCCCCCCCCCCCCCCCGCTCAGTGTTGGAGGCACCGGTACTGGGATGTAGGACTTCAGAAGTTGGATCATTCAGGAAATGGTTGGTGCTGTTCGCGGCAGCAAGTGGTTGGTGCAATCCGGGCAGGTGTGGAATTGCGTCTGTAAGTATAAGCTGCTCGGATTTTGTGTTCAGCAGGAAGGTTCTAGAGATACCAGACAGCGCACAGCCTATGGTGCTATCTACATCAGTTAAACCTCTTAAACCTACCGCTTAAAATAATCACTGGCTCCGCAGAATTAGGCGACAGTGAGGTTTCTCAATGCGTAGTTATCAGATTAGTCGTTGAGGCTGATAAACGTGCAAGCCACCGCACGCTACCACTGGAAAAGAAATGTGGTTTTATGCGTTTGAGAAAGAGAAACAGGTTTTGGGCGATGTGTAGAAAATGTAAACTGTGGTGTTTGTTCGAAGCGGCGCGAAACGTTCTTGCTATAAGAGAATCGGGACAGAGATACGTACGTTAAAAAGGCTGATTTGGGGTCGCTCAGAACAGTTAAGGGATGCGATGGAATCCAAGAGCGTTAAATACATCTGCCTAAAAATACATCAGTATATGATCTGATCACGATCGGTAATAAATAAGCAATAGATTAGATATAAAGATTCCAAAATAAAAAGGGTAGGTATATGCATACGATAGCTTTTGTGCTGTAATGAAAAATATCGGCAATGCAAAGTTAAACATTTGTATTACTGCACAATCGCCGGAGTGGTCTGGAAATGCCTGTGCCTGGAGGGAATGTGCCTGGAACGGCTGAACTTCAGTTGTCGGACCAACGCAAGATGTCATCAAATCAGCTGTCCAATTCCATCCCCCTGGCGAGAGATGCCTCCACGCACAGCTGCCCGGTCAGAGAAGAGATGGCCTCGGGGCGTGCCGGTGCCGGCGGTAGTGGGCTGACCCGCGGGACGGGTGGGCCGAGGGGCCCGCGCCGGCGGTGTGGGCGGACCCGCGGGCGGGTCGGCCGAGGGGCCCGCGCCGGCGGTGTGGGCTGACCCGCGGGCGGGTGGGCCGAGGGGCCCGCGCCGGCGGTGTGGGCGGACCCCGCGGCGGGTCGGCCGAGGAGCCCGCGCCGGCGGTGTGGGCTGACCCGCGGGCGGGTCGGCCGAGGAGCCCGCGCCGGCGGTGTGGGCGGACCCGCGGGGCGGGTCGGCCGAGGAGGCCGCGCCGGCGGTGTGGGCGGACCCGCGGGCGGGTCGGCCGAGGGGCCCGCGCCGGCGGTGTGGGCTGACCCGCGGGCGGGTGGGCCGAGGAGCCCGCGCGGCGTCGATGCCTCCGCTGATCGATGCTGCCTCTCTGCTCTCTCCCCTCGAGTGGCCCGACTGCGCCACTCGAGAGACGCCGACGAACGGGCCGCGCCGGTGGTGCCGGTCGCCCGGCGCCGCCGCTGGGCTGGACTCCGGTCCGGAGGACAGCGGCGACGCACTCTGTCGGCTCCGAGCTGCGTGGCGGTCGGCGTGGCCGCTATGTGCTTGCGGGAGAAATCGGCGGCCCTTTCGTCAGATCCAGGCTGTGATTCAGATGTGCTTTCATGAAGGGTCCGTAACTATGGCGGCTATTCACACTACAGGTCAATAACAGTAAAGCGTAAGTGCGTCGGAATGATTGAGGATTATGTAAGTAAAGCGCAGCCCGTCAGCTCTCAGAATGGTGCGGGTCGTTAACGATAAGCAATGGATTTTCCAGATCTGGCGGACGTCTTTATTGCGTCGTTGTACTATGTGGGCAATGTCGGGGCTGCTTCCTGTTTCCCCTGTATCCCACTGATTGCGGGTTTTCTTGTGACTACTGACTACCCGACCACGGCACATAGTCCGATTCATTGTTCCCGCCACAGGAGTGGCGCCCAAATTGGCAACATTAAACACTAACCTGTTGACGTTGCGTTGGAAGGAATGTAACCCCCTCCCCCCTGAGGTCTTCCAACTTTATCCCGTGGCGGAGCGTAACACCGTATCACCTGTGTCCTCCTGCGCCCGTTCACCAGGAGCGGTGCTCCCGCCCGTGTTGGCTCTCCGCCGGCTTGTCTGCGCCCTTCGCCCGTGAGTGGCGGCGCCTCGCGTCTGGAGGCCGGCTGGCACCCTGACTCGACGGCCGGCCGGGGGCGGCGCCCGACCCGCCGTCGCTGCCGTGTCGACACAGGCCAGGTCAGGGTCGGCCGGCTGACTACGGAGCGTGCCGGGGAGCGTGGGGGTGCGACCGGCGGCGCGGCGGTGACAGGCGGCGTACCGGGAAAACCAGGCGCCGGACGTGAGCGGCCGGCCTCACCGCCGCTGGCGTCGCGGCCGGGACTGAGGCTGACTCAGCGTAATTACGGTCTGCTGCACTTACTTTGTTCTGGCGCTATCTGTTCGTTCGGGAACCTGATGTGTTGTACTATCTTGGTCTGATGAGCGCCAGGGTTGGCAAACCTGCATTATTATGGCTAATGAGCCACGTCGTAGTTTGGATTGCGACCGAGCAGTCGCGCGGGGATGGGATTGCCACGTTTGTTATCAACCTGTCACGGATAACATGACCGATTTGTGCACTGGTCCCGGATTAATGCGACTCGTCGCCTCGTAGTTGGTGTCAGCGTTTACCCTGAAAGGGCAAACTGCCCTCAGCGATCAAAAATTCAGTACAGCTCCAAAATAAAAGGCCAAAATCGAACGGCAGGTCCCGCTGGCGCTGAGGCTGAAGGGTGTCATGGCGTACGCTTCGAGTCTTCCAGCAAACGTTCACCGCTCACCCGGGCTGTGCCCAGGTGACGCGTGCAGCGGCTCGGTCGGCAGTGCTCCCGTTACGGCAGCGTCTCACGCGCGCGCCGCCGGCGGTCTTGCCGCACCGTCTCTGGTGGAGCCGGCTGAGCGGCAGCGGCGGCCCGCTGGGCGCCGCTGTCGCCGTCGCCGGCCGCCGGCAGTTGCGGGCCCGCCGCCGGCGCCAACGCTCGACCCGCAGTCGGCCGGCGGCGGCGCTGAAGTGGCCCAGCCGGGCCGGCTCGGACACCCCCCCCCCCCCCATCCCTTCCACCCAGCCTCCTCTCCAGCCTCCGCAGGACCGTGTGGTTCCGCGCGGCGTCCGTCGGACACACCTCCCCCCTCCCCATCCCTTCCACCCAGCCTCCTCTCCAGCCTCCGCAGGACCGTGTGATCCCGCGCGGCGTGGCGGCCGCAACAGTCGTCACCCGACGTCGCCGACCGTCTTCCTGGTAGAGCATGCCAGCAGAGCTCTGCTGCATCGGTGACGTGTGGGTGCTCTCGGCAGGCGGCGGGTGTGTGGACGCCGGGGCCGGTCGTCAGCGTCGTCAGGATGCCGACGGACGTCGTCTCCGTGTGGCTCCGCGTGCGCGGTCGCGACCGCGAGCGGCAGCTGCGCAAGAAGATCCGCATGCCGCTCAGACAGCTGACCGCCATGACCCTGCTGAGGTTCCAGGAGTTCTTGGTGAGTAACGTCCTTTGGTGGGCGACTTCACGAGCGGAACCTGTGCTTGAGTGACGTCACGCGGCGCGGTGAGGGACGTCATGGTAGCGGCCGCCTCGCGTCTGCAGTGTGTGCGGTGTACCGTTGGAGGCTTCTCTCGATCTGAGGTTCGCGCGGCTGGTTGTGGATGACGTCACTATGATTGGCTCGGACCAGCTCGCGGCAGAGTGACGACTGGACTAATGCGTCGTTATGTGAGCTGTTCGCGATCTCGGACAAAGATGAGACGGCGTGAGACGTTCCCGAGTACCGGACGTCGCGGCAGTAACCAGTTCTGGTGATGACGATGCGGTGAAATGTCGCAGTCGGTCTCAGACAGGCTTGTAATTTACATGCACGTGGGGACGGCGCAATGCAGTGCGTCATCACTGTGAGGCTGTTCCTGTGCCTGATGAAGCCTGAAACGCGACAGCTTCAGAGGTGTCGTCACGAGTCTGGGTACCCCCGCGGACGCTGAACCCACTTAGAACAGCAGAGCACGTGCGTCACCCATGTCTCACAGCCGCGCTTGTCGGCGATTCCTTCACCTTTGCACGCTAGCCGTCTCAGTCGGCGAATGCGCAGGCAAACTGCCGCCCGTTGGCTCGGCGCTTGCGATGAGAGTCAATGCCGAGCAGTCACTTCAGGGTCGGGCACTGACGGCGCGGCGCGAGCATGACCGCGACCGTGCTCCGTGGCTCGGTCAGAGCATGGAGCACGGCCATGCCGTTGTGGTTGTGCTGATCCACAATACACCGCTGCGAGCGTCTCTCGCCGCAGCGGCGCGCCGGCGGACTGCCGGTGTTTGCCCTTTCGCCTCCCGAGCCGCTGGCCGCCGCCGGCCGCCGCCGGCCGGGACAACTGCGCACATGGCGAGAGGGTGCCGAGTGGAGCTATCCGGCCGGCGGCGCCGCAGCGCCCCCGCCCGCCCCCACGAGCGCGGCGCGCCGTCACGGGGTACTTACCGTGCCCCTGCCCCCGTCCGTCTGCCCCCACTCGCACGCAACGCGGCGGCCGCCGCCCCATGAGCGGGTGCAGGGCTGGGATGCCCGGCCGGTCCCCCCCTCCCCCCCCCGTCGGCCGGCTGGCTGGCCGCGCCGCCCTGACGTGTCGCCCGCGCCTGCCTCTCACCCGCAGCGCGTTCAGCTGGAGCTGGAGCGACCCACGGCGCTGGCCTACTGCGACGACGAGGGCGACAAGGTGAGTCCTGGCCGGGGCGAGCGTGACGGGAGGGGGCGGGCGCGGACGCGACGTGACCGCGGCGCTGTCATGGCGCGAGGGAGAGGGGAGGGGTTGACCGCTCAGTGCGCCGGCTGCTCGAGCTCACTGAGATAGCCGGCCCGCCGGGGTCGGGGCAACGCCGTGACCTTGGAACTGCGATAAGGTTGCGGCACATAATGCCGGCTGGTTCACGGGCTGCACAGTCACTGTTCGTGGAGAGGTTCGTTGTCGCGCTGGTGGCGCTATGTTGTGGAAGAGCGAAATACGTGCCGGGGGTTTTCCGGGCGTGTGCAACTTGGGATACTTTTAGCTGTCCTACCAGATTCGGCCGTTCTCGTTGCTCGCTGTTATACTTCGCCCCCTGCAATATTATTTTGGTCAAGTTACTTATTCTGGCCTGACTTCATTGGCCGTTATAGTTCTTTCTGTATGGTTCCTTCTTTGATCTCGATCATTATGGGTAAGCTACATGGGGGCATTGGTGGTCAGATATGAAAGGAAGCTGGAAATGTCACTTATCCGGAAAATGTGGCGCGTAATCTCCCGGTCTGTGCTGGTACAAGATTGAGCATGGTACATGATGGTACATGATTGTACATGATGGTACATGATTGTACGTGATGGTACACTAGTACATGATTCTCTGAAGTGCATCTGCTCGGGGGCCAGGCTGTTAGCGGCTGGCTCTGACAACCAGCCACCCTGCATCGCTCGAGCTCGAAATCGTTTGCTTGGCTTGCACTGGCGATACATAATTGTTAACTGGCAGCTTGCCCGTGAAAGCTGGTCCGGCACGTACCCGGCAGTGTCGTGCCTCGTTGTCTGGCTCTCCTGCCATGTTCAGTGCCGAGTCCGTGGTAAGAAAAGTTAGAGATGTCTCACCATGAAGTTGCTCATACCTCGTCGGTACAAATTCTTGCGAGAGGGTTCTAAGTGCTCGTGATGGGAAGATCGGTCTGGTTGCCAGCGATGTCTGGTGGTGGCTTTTACGAAGACCGATTGTTAAAATAACGCATTCGAACTACCTTGAGCATTGGGAGGGGAGGGCCACCCAGGCAAGGCTGGGAAAAGCGTGTTGTGGTCGAAGGCTGCTGCATTGTGATGTAGCACAAGGGTTGTCTGAACCGTGTCAGAATCCGGCCAACGGTGTGGAGTTTGTGGCCAGCTGTCGTCCAGTGGGCGCTCCTCTCGAGGCCTCCGTGACCTTCGGTCGTCCCATCCGCGGCAGATCCCGGTGACCACTGAGGACGAGTTCAACGTGCTGGTGTACATGGCCGAGATGGCGGCGCGACAGGGCGGCGCGCTGGAGCTGCGCCTGCGCGAGCCGCGGCAGACCGACTCCACCAGCCGGCGCGTACAGGGCTGGCTCAACACGGCCTCCGCCAGCACCGCCCGCGCCCGCGCCCGCGCCGCCGCAGCCCGCGCCGACGCCGCCGACGCCGCCGCGGCGGCGACCGCCGCCGCCGCCGCCGCCGCCGCCGCTCACGCTGACGACACCGAGTCGCTGACGTCGGCCCGTCAGCTGGCGCAGCGACGTCCTGCAGCTCCAGTGGCTCCGGCGGCTCCGGTGGCTCCGGCGGCTCCGGCGGCTCCGGTGGCTCCGGCGGCTCCGGTGGCTCCGGCGGCTCCGGTGGCCCCGGCGGCGGTGTACGCCCCGCTATGGCCGCGCGGCGCTGCATGCGCGCGCCGCTCGGACGGATGGGCCGGATGACGGTCTGCAAGCGCCGCTGCCGCCCGAGCCGGCGCGCGTCGGCACGGGACGTCACCGCGAGCGCAGGAGGGAGCGCGAGGTGCCCAACTGGTTCGACGGCTACATGAAGCAGGTGAGGGGGCACAGGCGTGGCGGAGCTGACGGCGTGAGGCGGGTTGTGGCCGTGCTTGAGCGGCGTCGCGGTGTTGGCCAGGTGGTTTTTAGTGTCCTTAGCACCTTTTGCGCGTGGGATTTCGCCTGGACGTCTCGTGCGGAGTTGTTAAGCGCTTCGCGTTGTTGGGTTAGGCGGTGCGGTGTCCGAAGGATGGTAGTGGTAACGAAAATGCTGCTGTAATTGCGACATTAAAGATGAACGTTTATGTCGCGGCTCTGACGGAATGGCGGCTAATGCCGCCGCGGCCTCCGCTCCAGTTCCAGAAGGACATCGTGACGGAGGTGACCGAGGCCGTCAAGGCGGAGATCCAGGCATCGCCGGCTGCCGAGATGACCTGCGCGTGTCCATGCGCGCTGGCAGACTCGTCGACCGCGGTGAGTGCTCGACCTGACCCCGGCCAGCTCACCCTGTGACTCCTCGCGCCTTCCTGTGCCCCGCGTGTTCGCTCGCCGTTCCATTCGCACCGGAGGAAGTGCCTTCCGCAAAGCCGATTGAAGACCGAGCTGTGTCATCGTGCGGTTGTTCTCCAGCCGTGTCGCCACCCGTTCGCCGCTGATGCGCTCACATGCAGCGTGTGCGGCTTGTTTGCAGTCGCTGGGGCCGGGCTCGCGCGTGAGCCCGTCGCCGTCCAGCCGCACGGCGAGCCCCGCCCCGCCGCTGGCGGCGCGGGAGGACCGCGCCTCGCAGACCTCCCCGCCGCCGCCGGCCAGCGACAAGTGCTGGGTGTCGGAGCCGGCGCTGGCCGCCGCGCCGGCCGCCGCTGCCGGTGGCGGGCCGCCGGTCGACGAGTTCGGCCTGTTCTCGGTTTCGGCAACGGCGCCGGCTGCCGCCCCGCTCTCCGGCAAGTTCTGGTCGTCGGCGCCGGCCGTCGACGGCGACGGCGGGTCCAACGTCGGCCGCAACGTGTCGAACGTGCACACGGGCAAGACGGTGTTCAGCGCCGGCGGCCGCTCGGTGGTGACGAGCCGCGCCCGGGCGCCGCCGGCGGGCCTCGCCCGGGCGCCGTCGGCGCCGCTGCTGCCGCCGGTCGGCCGGCCCCAGCCCCGGCCGCGCCGCTGCCACACCGACGTGGATGACGCCGACTACCAGTGCATGCTGGTGATGGTGGAGCACTCGGCCGCCGAGCTGGATCCGGAGCCGGAGGAGAAGCAGGAGGAGCCGGAGCAGCCGGAGCAGGAGACACTGCCGAAGGAGCCGCAGCACCAGCCGACACTGGCACAGGAGCAGCAGCAGCAGCAACAGCAGCCGCCAGCGCAAGAGCAGCAACAGCCGCAGCGGCAGTCAAGCTTTGATCAGCTGCTGCATCAGCTTTCCCAGCGGCCGCAGCCGCACGCAGCACAGGAGCAGCCGCAGCTGCAGCAACAGCCGCAGTCCAGCCCGGAGCAGACGCAGCAGCGGTCTCAAGCCGCCGTCGACGAACCGGTAAGCGGTTTGGCTGTTGGCGGTCCGGGGCGTGGCGCGATCAGACGGATTGGGCGACACGGCACTTGTCGTCAGGCCATACTGTGCTGAGCCATGGGGCTACACGGCACTTGTCGTCAGGCCATACTGTGCTGAGCCATGGGGCGACACGACACTTGTCGTCAGGCCGTGCTGGCCACAGACTGCCCTCTGTCGATTTCGTATAGTAGACCCTGGGCCGTGCACAGTTGCCGTTCTTGCCCTCCCATGCTATGTTCTCACATATCACGGTATGATTGCGCGGACCGTGTCCTTCATCCGCGGGCGCCGGGAACCGCTCCCGGCCGGCGGCGCGCTGGCTGCGCGCCGGCTCTGAGCGACGGCCCGACCCGACAGGAACCGGAGACGGCGGCCGCCGAGACGGACGACGACTACGTGACGGTGAACGGGCGCCGGTTCAGCCTCTCGGAGGACGACTTCTCCGACATCGTCATCATCCCGTCCCCGGACGGCTCGGAGCGCTTCGAGATGGTCGAGGAGGAGGACGAGGAGGAGGAAGAGGAAGAGGAGCAGGGCGGACTGCTGGATTCGGTGCGGGAGGCTCGCTGCGACGGACAGGTGCGAGGGCGACATGGGTTCTGTCAGGGGCTGGTGACTCGCAACATGGCTTTGATACTTTCGATCTTTAAAAAGCCTCAGACGTGGAAAATGAGACTGACATTTCAGCATCGATGGGTCGTTTCACGCTTACGTCACCCAAACAGAGTGGAAGTGAGCCTAGGCTTCGACTTTCTGCGCATGACGTCTGAGGCTACGTGCTCGTAAAGGCCACTAAGGATTGAGAGATCAGTAGGTGCTGGCGAGCACTTCTTCGCAAACAACAGTGTCTCGGAAAACTTGTAAAAACTGTGTACACGCAACTGCGTAAGACAGACGCTTTGCGTCTCTGCGGGAAGAGGCTCAAGCGTAACATCATTATTGTCGCAATAAAAAAGTCGTGTTGCCTACCGCTCAACTTCAGGAAAGCTCGCTTGTGTTAGAAAGTACTACTGTGCGCCTCATGTGTAGAAACTGTCGCTGTCTTATTTCAGACGCCTGAAAGTTATGCCGTTCGGCACAAACTCCAAACCAGCACATTCGGGATTGTAACTGGTCGTGGATGGTACTTTTGATTGTTTTACTGCTGAAACCAGAGCCGGAGAGCGTGCTTTGCCCTTCTATGCTGCTTTGCTTAAAGCAGACTTTTGTGCACAAACGCTAGGAAGCTGCTCACCATCAAGATCTGTTTCGTAACTGGAAATTGTGAAGTGCCTTTTCTTGTGCATACCCGAACGCTTTTTTTCATTGTTGCGTCCTAACGCGGCCGCGACCATTGTCTCCTCATGTTGTCTGGTGTCAATGACACTTGTGTGGGGGGGGGGGGGGGGTTGAAAGGGGCCCGTCCCACTGGGAGCGGCGCGCTTGGTGCCGTTCGTCCCGTGGCGCCCGCTCGCTCGCTCACCCCTCCGTGACGCGCCCGCACAGGTGACGCCGGTCGCGCCGGCCGGCGACGCGCTGGTGGCTTCGGCGCTGTCCGACAAATGGTGTGACGCGGCCGTCTCGCTCGGTGAGTGACGCTGAGTCCTCGGGACAGGGGCGGCGGGACGCGCCGCTCCGGCAGCGAGGGAGCCAGCGCCCGACACTCGACCTGGGCCTGGTCCAGATCAGGGCTCGGCCGGACTGATGGGCTCCACGGGTCTGGCCTGCTCTCCGTCTGGTCGTGGAGCCTGGATTGTCGTCGGTGTGCGAGCCAGGATGGATTGCTCGGAATGGGCGTAGCTGTTTTGGCACTGCCCTCCGGTCGTCACTAGCCGCGAGGGCTGCCGTTGCGAGCGTTATGTGCCAGCTCGGTACGAAAAGCGAACATCTTACGCTTTTTGAAGACTTGCAGTAATTTTTTGTCGTCTGCCATTTGTTTCGGGCTTCACATAACCGTTCCATGCGACGCCTAGCCGCCGCAGCCCCCCTCCCAGCCTCGGTGGCGCCTGTCACCGCGCGCCTATCCCCGACAGAGGCCTCCTCGGAGCTGGACGCCCGCAGCTGGGTGGCCGCCGAGCTGCCGGAGGACGCCGACGCGCGCCGTGACTCGAGCCCGCAGCGCTCACACTGTGAGAGCGCGCCGGCCGCCTGCCCGCTGGAGCTGAGCGCGCCGGCCGCGCTGCCGTCGGCGCACACCGTCTCGCTGCCGCTGCCGGCGCCGGCGGCGGCCGAGGCCGAGCCGCTGTGCGGCCGCGACGACCCGCTGTCGGCGCTGCCGGCGGCCGTGCGCCGCGGCCTGGCCGACAGCCTGCAGCGACTGCCGGAGCCGCTGCAGCGCGAGCTGGCGCTCCAGCTGACCGGCCGCCGCTGCGCCGAGGTACGCCGACGCCGCGCCGCGCCGAGACAGCCGCCGTGCGGCCGGTGGCGGGTTGCGGTGTGGACGGCGTCTGTGGGTGTCTGGGTGTGAGCGGCGTCTGCGGGTGTCTGGGTGTGAGCGGCGTCTGTGGGTGACTGGGTGTGAGCGGCGTCTGCGGCGTCTGTGGGTGTCTGGGTGTGAGCGGCGTCTGCGGGTGTCTGGGTGTGAGCGGCGTCTGTGGGTGTCTGGGTGTGAACGGCGTCTGTGGGTGTCGGAGTTTCAGCTGCCAGACGTCGTGCGTGCCGTGGGTCGGTCTCGGCCTCTGTGTCATATTGTCGGGGCGCTGGCGTCGGACGCTCTCCTGTCCGCCCGGTATGTGGTCGGACCGCGGCCGTCATGCGTCTGCCTCCTGTGTCGCCCTGCCCTCCGATGACAGCGGCCTGCCGGCAGGTGTTCTGGGAGCAGTTGGGCGAGATGGCTGCCGCGTCTGGCCGCAGCCGACCGCACGAGCTGCTGCTGGATCAGGCGCAGCGGCCGGGCGGCGTCGGCCTGCTCGTCGACTCGCTGCACGGCCTGCTGCAGGAGCTGAAGATGTCGGCCGCCTCCAGCTCCGAGCTGGACGGTCTGGGTGCGCAGGCCGTGAAGCACACGGTCCTCCTGCTGCGCGGCGCGCTCCGCTTTGAGGAGGAAGAGGACCAGCGGGAGCGGCCGGCTGCCGAGGCGGCCGCGGAGGAGGCGCCCGAAGAGACGGCGTCGGCGCCGCAGTCGGCGACGGCCCAGCAGGAGGAGACGTCCGGGGAGCCGGCCGCTCAGCCGCCGTCGCAGGAGCCGGCGCCCGAGGAGCCGCTGCAGGCGCCCGAGGAGCCGCTGCCGGCGCCGGAGGCCGACGGCGCGGCGCCACCGTCGCTGGGCCGGTCCCGTCTCAGCGCCCTCCTGCCAGAGTGGGTGCTCAACCTGCTGCGCTACCAACACGAGCGGGGCTCGCAGGAGGCGGTGCCGACGGAGGCCGAGGCCATGGTACGTGACACCGCGGCCCGCTCGGGGCATGGCCGTCTGGCGTCGGGTGTCAGTCACCTGCTGGACGGCGATGCTGGGCGCGGCCTCAGACCGTCGCGCGGACAGATTGTTTTTTGATGTGCGAATTCATCGTTGTAGTAAGGTGTCGAAGGGCGCTGATGTTGGGACCATGCTCCTTTCCGTGTTTTGTTCCAGTATTGTGGGCTCAAAGTTCTTTATCGGCTTTACGAGCTTGACCGTAGCTTGGTGGTCGCCGACTCAACATAACTTTTGAACTCAGGTTCAAAAACTAGGAGCTGAAGGCTTTGCTGGCTTTTGCTCTGACATCGCAACTGCCTTGGATGGCGTTTCCTCATTGTGGTGTGTGTCTGGAGCCGCACAGCCGTGACGTGTACTGATGAGTGTTCTGACTGACGCTTTCGTCGGAAGAAGCCGCGTGATCACCAGCGGATGGACTTATGGCGCTACCGAAAGTGCCAGGCTGCGTCTCTGATGGGGGATACGCTGCTGACCTGCCCTGTGTGCCGCCAGATCATCTCGCGCCTCGTGGACATGGGCTTCTCGGATATCGTCCAGATCCGCGCCCTGTACTGCCAGTACGGCGACGACTGCAACGCCATCGCCTCCCACCTGCTGGACCGCTCCGTGTAGGCGGGCGTCACTGAAGCTGCGTGCCGGCCCTGCTGGTTCCGTTGGCTGCTCTTCGCTTGCGGCGGTGGCGGAGCGTTGGGTGCTGGCGTGGGGCAGTCCTCGGACCGGGCGGCGGCACAGGAGCGAGCGGCGCGCCCGCCGTACGGTGGTTCGCGCCGGCGCCGCCAGAGGCGCGCCAGGCGAGGTGTAGGTGGCGCTGCGGCTGTGTATGAGGACGAGTCAACGGCTGCGTTGAACACTGATCAGCGTCTGCGAGTGAAGACGAATCAACGGCCGCGTTGATCACTGATCAGCAGCTGCCATTGAGGACGAATCAACGGCTGCGTTGAACACTGATCAGCGTCTGCGTGTGAGGACGGATCAACGGCTGCGTTGAACACTGATTAGCGTCTGCGTGTGAAGACGAATCAACGGCTGCGTTGGACACTGATCGGCGTCTGCGTGTGAGGACGAATCAGCGGCTGCGTTGAACGCTGATCAGCGTCTGCGTGTGAGGACGAATCAACGGCTGCGTTGGACACTGATCAGCGGCTGTGTGTGAGGACGAATCAACGGCTGCGTTGGACACTGATCGGCGTCTGCGTGTGAGGACGAGTCAGCGGCTGCGTTGAACGCTGATCAGCGTCTGCGTGTGAGGACGAATCAACGGCTGCTTTGGACACTGATCGGCGTCTGCGTGTGAGGACGAATCAGCGGCTGCGTTGAACGCTGATCAGCGTCTGCGTGTGAGGACGAATCAACGGCTGCGTTGGACACTGATCGGCGTCTGCGTGTGAGGACGAATCAACGGCTGCGAGCCGGGAGCCTTATTTTAGACGTGGCACCCTGCAGTCTGCCCGCTTTGCACCAGTAAGGGTGCGACAGTTGGCGCCGATGAATGTGAAATTTCCGAGTGTCATGCCTATAGACCGGAATTGCTTTAATTTGCCGATTGGGGCTGTGCGTACGGGGCGTTAAGATGGGCTTATTACCTTGGTTGTGGCGGGAAGGTGGCGCCGGTGCAGCTTTCACCGGTGGAGCTCCGCCCAGTTGCGGAGCAGCTGGAATGGGGTTTGGCGGTTACGCGTGGACTGTTTTATCCCCGTAGCGCAGATGTGCGGACAAGGGTACCGCAGACAGCGTGTGAAGCTTCAGGTGGCGGCCGTCTCCCGCGCGTTCGGCGCCCTTCGCCCTGCGCGAGCCGCTGGCGCGTGTGCGTCGCTGGATTTCGTCGGTGTGGTGTGAGCTGAAGGCTGACACGCGGACCCATCACGCCTTTCGCCACCTGTGAGCGCTGTTTGTCGCACGTATCGCTGTTGCCGCGTATCCGGTCGTTGCAGTCCGCTTGTAAACAGTTACAGCGTAGATATACTGGCACAGACGCCGCAGCGTGGTGTGGACAGATCGGTCATCTATTCTGGACAGTTCGGTAGACGTGGCGTTCCTTTTATCCATATTCATAGAAACCTAGCGACTAACACCGAGAGCGCCGCCGCGGCAAGCACCCCGCTGGCGCGTATATTTTACCGACGCGCACCCCGCTTGTCAGCAGCCGACCGGCGCGAGGCGAGATTTTCGCGGAGATGTGTAGCCCGGTTGCCGGCCGGGGCTGCTGCGCAGGCCGGGGGACCGCACCGGACCCGCGGCCGGCCCGTGCTGGACACGCCCCCGACGGAGCAGTCGGTGGAGCGAGCGCGACGCAAATCGTGTGGTCTCAGTCAATAAATACAGAACGCACCCAGCCGGCGTGTTCGGGGAGGAGTGGGGTACTCCTCGGATGTCGTCCTGGAGGAATGGCTGCCACTTCAGGCGAGTGGACTTCCTTCTGCTGCGTAGCACGGAAGCTGGGAATATGTGTTAGGCTCATTCCAGCAGCGTCCCAGCAGTTTATCCCGCTGGTTGGACATCGTGGCACCTTAGCGGGCTCGGATAAACACCCAAAAAATGCAGGAGGAAGCCTTGTCAGACATGTCATTTTCGGCAGCGATGCACGGCAAGGTTTTGTGGACATGCTGCCCAATTTCTGAGACCGTGCGTTGTGCGCTCTTTACTCAGCGTCGGGTCACATCGCAGCAGTCTAAAGACGAAGTCAAATGAGATTCTAATGGAAGGCGGCACGGTTTCTGCGGGGAGTTAGTCCAGGGTGCTGGACATTTCACGATGCCTTCTGCTGATGAAGCAGTGCCCAAGCGGACACCTGAAAGAACTTCATGTATTCCGACGGCTCGTCTACGTTCCATTGACCGTTCTAGGTCTTCGATGGAGCCTGAGGCAACTGCTAAGCGTCGCGCTGAGTGTCCAGGTCTCGGTCAGCATGGTCGGTGATATGTGGTGTGGGCTGATGCTGCAGCCTCGCGTGTGTTGGAGACGCTGGGTGAGAATCCTGGAATACGGCGGGGGCAAATCCGGCCGGACTTGGCCCGGGGCTCTTAATAATGGCATGGTTGCATGGTGTTTCCAATTCCTCGTGATGAGTATTTTGCGTTCATGTATTTAGTTCAGTCGGATATATATATATATATATATATATATATATATTATATATATATACTTCAATATATATATTTACTTCAAGTTTAATTACATTTCTGATAATACTTTTTTCTTTTCATTCTACTTCATTCGGGCTTATTCATCGTTACCGATGTAGCCATTTCTCAAGTAAGTACGCCTACACCCTGGACCACTACCTACAAAGCGAGTGGCGTTAACACATAACCCGCTCTTTAGGCGGATCACCTGTTCACCCCATGCGTGGTTGTGGGGTTGAATATCCATACGTTATGTCGACTGTCAACTCATGCTGAAACATCCACTTCAACTCATTGTGCATGTCAGGGCGGCACTAATATCTCAAGAAACGGGGCTCGCCGCTTTCCCTTGATTTAAGCTTTTTCCATGTACCACTTGATTTTAAGAGAAGTGAGAGCCCATATCCTCCTTCCTTATTAACTTTTAGGTGCGCAGAGGCTTTTGTTCTTTGTTGGTTTCGTGAAATATTTTAAAGGCCCCCGATCAAAGCTGCCACTAGGCGTAGAATCTACGTAGTCATTTTATGAACAACGCATTGCTTGGACCGCAATATAATGCATGGAATTGGCATAGCTTAGGCCACGAATTGGGCTCGTGCACCTCCGTGGCGCGTTACCCCAGGCAGATTTGGGGAGTAGACGCATGATCTATTATGCTCAAAAATTACATAGCAGTGCTATGTAATTTGGACTCAGCTGGCCGCTTTCCGGACTTGATAAAGGCACCTTGAACCATAACATGATTCCATCAGAGTCGATTTTGGCGACAAAAACAGGTCATTTTCTAACGTTTACAGACTAGATTCCGATATATGCAAAACTCATTTGTATGTACCACACGGGGCCATATGTAATGCTCTGCCGGACATGCGGGCTCTCAGAGCAAGAACATCTGGGTTTAGCTGGCTTGGCCCGGTCTGAAAAGCGTGCCTGCCAGTGTATTCATGCATCTGTGAGTGCATTCATGTGGTTAGATACCTGAGCAGATGATCCCACTAGTGAATCTCACATATTGCCTTTGCCGTGTGCTGCCAGGTGAGACCATTATCCTGTTTTTTGTGTGTTGTCAGTTTGTCTGACAGACTGGGTGTGCCTCTGGTTTGGCCAGCTGCCCTTCTGCCGATGTTCATGCGATTAGCCAGCTGACTGCCTTGACGTCGACTGCATCGCTGCTTATCCACACACACCGTCATCTCTCCGTAGTCGATTGACGCCGGCTGCGCATGAGGATTCGTGTTTGTTCCGGAAGGGCGTACTTTCTCCCCAGGTCCTCTGTGCTCAGCCTGACATGCTCACCAATATGAAGGGCATTTGCCAGTGACGCTGGTCGCTGCCAGAAGGATGCTGTCAATTCTTCCGTGTTTGGTCGGCTGACCCCACTAGGGCGCTTCAAGACGTCCCACAGGTGCCCGAAAATGACTGGGTTTCTGACTGGGGAATGAGTACTGGGCGTACGGGTTTCAACCACCGCTGGAGGGGTCACGGCCCGAAAAACTCCCCTATTGACTGCTGGCGCTACTTGAAAGATCGGAAAATTAACTTTATCCAGCCTGCAAGCTTGTTTGGTCTCAACGCCTGCCTTCCGATTCACCCACTCGTGGCGGGGTGGATTCGAGTCGGTTTTGGCAATCGTAATTTTCCCTGACTGGGACGGTCTGCGGCTGGTGGCACGTGTGCGGCCGCGCGGGACGGGGTGCCCGACGCGCAGAGGCACGAGAGCCGCACGAGCTGTGCAGCACGAGACGTATTGTTACCGGCGCTGACGGCGGCGGCGGCGGCCGCCCGCGTGGCGCGAAGAAGCACGGACGAGGGTGGGCTGCTTAGTCCTGTCGATTCTGTAACGTTTGGTTATACCGTCGTACTGTACCGTGGCATTAAGTATTCGAATTATAATTCAAATATATGGCACCGGCTGACCTAGAGGTCAGGTGGCGTCAGAGGCCCGAATGGACCATGCCGAGCTGCGGCGGCGCGCTAAGTTTTCATTGCAAACTTACGTCGTTGAACTGTGATTCTACAACCGGCGGGTGATGGCGGGACTCACGCAACAAACGCTGCTTAACTCGGGCTACAATCGCATAAATTCATCGAATCGAAATGTCCGGACTTATCAATTTCGAAAAACCACCCGCTGACCCGGTCGTGAAGTGCTTAAAATCATTTTCAGCCATTGATTGCCGACCGATGCAGCAACAAGTGCAGCTCTTAAAAGTTTCGTCTCATGCATTGTTAGGGATTTGCGTGCCGCCTGTTCGGTCAGGCCTGATGTTGAAACGGTATTTCATATTGCAAAAAAAAATCTGAAGGACGTGGGTCGCGCCGGGTCCAGATCCGGGCGGCCTGGTGTCGCAGAGACAAGACTAACAGCGTCCTCGTGGAATATAATCGCCGTGGCAGGCGGGGTCGGTCTGTGCGGGTGGCTAGTTGCCTCCGTAGTCTGTACGCAGACGGCGTGGGTTCACCCATTTCGGGGTGTATTAGGGGCTGTCA